TGGTAAGTTGGTTTTTGAATTAATATATTCATATTGGATTTTGACGGTTTCAACGAGACTAGTTGATGTTTGTTTGTGAAGATTTGAAACACTCATACGTGCAGCTATCCCTCCATAATCTGGGTGTATAGTTCACATCTATGCAGCAGTTTCAGTTTATTAATTATAAAAATAAGAAGTTTAAACACAAGGGTGCACACAAGAAATAACAAATTGAAATTTTAAAGAAGAATCGACAATTCCCTCTTTTAATCCTGGGGTCGTTTATATTTAAAATTCAAAAAAAGACGTAAAAGATTTTTAGAAATTTTAATAAATAGTAAAAAAAAAAAAAAAAACGATATTTTCTTTTTTATTTTTTGATAACTAGTCTAAAACTCTATTTGCTCCAACATGTTGACATTGGGGAAATATATAATCAAATGATGAGATAACCAAAAGAAAAAAACACTTGAAAAAAAAATTATTTAATCAATTATAATAAAATTTATTTTTTTCATTTTATTTTAAAACAAACAACCAAATTAAAAAAAAAAAAAAATAATTACGAATAATTTTTTTAATTATTTTTATTATTATTTTATAATTTTATTTGAAAAAAAACATTTTAGTTTAAAGAAAAAAAAATAAAAAATAAAAAAAAATAGGTTTATAATTAAATATAAACAAAAATAAAAAAAATGAAGAATTTCAAAAAAAAAAAACACCGTAAAATCTGACTTTTTGACATTGCCACTTTGTTAATAACCACAAAAGTTATTTTAATAAAAAAATATAAAAAAAAAAAAACAAAAAAATAATTTATTTGAAATTACAGTTGGGTTATATATAAAAAAAAAAAAAAAAAAAAAACTATTTTAAAAATAATTTTTTATTTTAAAAAATAAAAAAAAATAAAACAAATTTTTTTCAAATAATATTTTGACATATTATAACTCTCAATTGTAATTATAACTTTTTTTATTTTATTTTATTTTATTTAATTTTATTTTATTTTAAATTTTATTCTTTTAAAAAAAAAAAAGCTATTTAAAATTTTTTTTTTTTCATTTTATTTGATAATTATTACACACACACAATAATATAATTTTTTTTTAATCTTTTTGTATTTTATAAATAACAATAATATCATCACCCATTCATTACTCTACTAAACACTAAAATAGTAAATTTAAAAGTTCTTGTTTTACGTCTGTTTGTTTTGTATATAAATTTGTTTAAATATTTACCCCTTTCCTATTACAACAATCATCTGAAAATTTAACCCACTCAAAATATATATTTAAAATATTTTATATTATTTTATAAATAAATTATAATAATTTTTTTTTTTTTTTATTATCTCAATCAAATTAAACAAAAAAAAAAAAACCATTCATTAATATTTTCTTTTTTCTAAATTATATAAATAAAATTAAATTGTTTATATAAATAATTACAGTAATTCAAATAATAGTTTATTCTTTAGTTTTATAAATAAATACATATATAAAAAATAATGTCAGGCGGTGGCGCTAAAATCATCTTAAATTGTTTATCAATTCTTGCAGGTCTTTTTGTTTTGGCTTGTGGTATTTACATCTTTGCTGGTAGTTTCTGGCATACAATCATTTCCTTCGTTATCGGTGTATATTTTATCTTATTTGGTGTTTGGTAAGTATTAATTTATTATTAGGTCTTTTCTTTAAAAAAATTGTTACTAATTCTAAATTTAAATTATAGTATTGTTCTTTTCGAATTCGTTTTCCCATCAAAGGTTGTTTCATTATTTGGTTTCTACACATATTGGTTTGGTAGAGGTTGCTTCATTTCACTTCTCGGTTTATTAATTTTAGAAAACCATGGTTTCTTCTTAGCTGCTGGTATTATTGTCATTGCAATTGGTATTGCTTTCATGGTTCTTCATTTCTTCTGCCCATGTCCATCACCATTCTTCAGCAGTAGCGGCCATAGTAAAAACAACAATAATGAAAGACATGGTGCTGAACATGCTTAAACACAAACTACTTTAAAACTCAAAAAATAATGTATAATTATATATATTAAACACACATATATATAAATCAAAAAAAAAAAAAAAAGAAAAAAAAAAAAAAAAACTATATAATAATATATTTATTTTATTATAAAATATATTTTATAATTTTTCTAAAAAAAATAATAAAACAAAAACTTTATATTTATTTATTTTAAAAAAACTTTTTTTTTGTTTTATTTTTGTAAAAAATAATTTTATATTTTTATAATAAAATTTAAAAAAAACTATAGTTGCTCCTGTATTATTATATAATTTATATAATTTTATTTTAAAAAGGATTTGATTATTTATATTTTATTTTTTATGTTGTTGATGGAAAGATTCTAATTCAGTAACACAGTCATGTGAACCCATGAAAACAGGTACTCTTTGATGAATTGAATTTGGAACAATATCTAAACATGGAGTACTACCGTTTGAAGATTTACCACCAGCTTGCTCCATAATAAATGAAAGTGGACCTACTTCATAAAGATATCTTAATTTACCGTTTGGTGATTTTGAGTCTGCTGGGTACATAAAAATACCTCCATATAAAAGGGTTCTATGAACATCACTAACCATACTACCAATATATCTAGATGAATATGGAGAACGACCATTGGAACCTGATTTAATGGCATTAACGTATTCACTTGTAGCCTTGTCCCAATAAATTGAATTACCTTCGTTAATTGAATAAATATTGCCTCTATAAAAAAATAAGTTAATATATTGTTTACTATTATATATTATTAATATCTTGTAAATAATTACTTTGATTTAATTCTCATTTCGACATGGGTTAAAACAAATTCACCAATTGAATTATCTAAAGTAAAACCGTAAACACCTTGACCTAATGTTAAAACTAACATAGTGGCTGAACCATAAAGAGCATAACCAGCAGCAATCATTTCACGACCTTTTCTTAATACATCGGCATTTGAAAAACTATGGTCAGTAGAAGCCTTTGGCCAAATAGCGAAAATAGAACCAACAGAAACATTACAATCTAAATTGGATGAACCGTCTAATGGATCGAAGGTGACAACAAAATTACCACTTTGTGATTCTGGAACTGGGATGATACTATCTTCCTCTTCAGAGACCATGCAGAAAACTTCCCGAGTTGATTTTAATGCCATTTTAAAGGCATCATTAGCGACAATATCAAGCTTCTTTACATCTTCACTGTGTACATTTGTAATACCAGCCAAACCAAAGTTTTGTTCGAAACCAGCTCTTTTAATTCCATTATTTGTAATTTTGCATGCTAAAGCAATACCCGATAATAAATTGGCCAACTCTAATTTAAATCCGATATCTTTATGTGTGTCTGATAATACCCATCTATTTAAAGTAATTAAATTATTTGATGACATTTTATCTTTTCTTTTTTTTTTATTTTATTTTTTTAGATTTTTGATTTAAATATTATATTTAATATGATAAATTATATATAAAATATTATATACGTATATTAAAACAAAAGTAATTTTTTATTTATTAATGATAAAAAAAAAAAAAAAAAAATATCACCCTTAAAATAAAAAAAAAAAAATTTTAAAAAAAAAATAAAATTAAAATTTTTTTTTTAAATTTCATTTTTTTAATATGGTGTATGTGTGTTCCATAAGCGGTGCAATTTTCTTTTTTAAAATAAATACATAAAAAAATCACGAATATTCAAGAATTTTTTTTTATTTCATTCTTTGTATTCATTTATTAATTATTTTAAATCATTAATAAGGTTTAATAAAAATTAAATAAAAATTTAAATAATGAAATAAAAAAAATAAAAATAAATAATTTTGTTGTGTGTTATTTTTATAAACCTTTTTTTTAAAACCATTGGTTTTTTGTTTTCCAATCCAAATGAAGTTCAATTTAAAGCAATTATAAATTTTAATTATTTATCTTTGATCAAGAGTTATTACACTTTTGAATTATAGATTTAAATATATTAAAAACTAAAAAAAAAAATTAATTAAATGCATTGAAAAAATAATAAAAAAAAAATTAATTTTCCTTTTATGTAAAATAAAAAAAAAATAAATTAATAAAAAAAAAAATAATAATTATAAATCTAAAAGAAATTAAAAATTAATTTAAAACAAAAAAAAAATAAAAAAAATAAAAAAATTTTTATTAAAATTATTATTATAAAATTAATTGCATTGTTTTTTTTATAAAAATGCAACCATTTCATTTAAATTTCAAAATATCAAAATAATTTTAAACAAATAATTATAAAAAATAATAATAAAAAAAAAACAATTCAATTAACTTATTTTAAAAATTAAAAATTTTAATTATAATAAAAACTAAATGTTTTTTTTTAATGCTATTATAATAAATAATTTTAGTATTCAAAAATTTATATTATTTTAATAAAAGAAATAATAATGGAAAAATATCAAAAAATAATTCAAGATTATTTAATAGAGGAATTGCATATTGATATAAATAATAATAACAATAATAATATAAATAATATTAATACTAAAAATCAGATATCACAAGAATTTACCGAACCACAGTCACCTCAAACACAGCAGGAACATAATGAAGCAGAAAATACTTACACATTCGAACAAAAAGATAATTTGATAAATTTAAAATTAAATAATATTAATAATAGTCCATATTCAATCGAAAATGAAGAATATAAACATAAAATATTAGTAGAAGATTTAGTAATAACATTTGAAATGACAAATGAAGAAAAGGAATATTTTAAACAAGTAAAATCAAGATATTTAGAGGCAAAACAAATATTTTTAAATGAAAAATTAAATTTAGAAGAGAAAACAAATCAAATTAAAACAATTTTAAATCCATTTGAATTTGAACAATACAAAAAATCAAATTTTAATTTTTTTGGAAAGATCCCGCCAAAATCAAGAGTAGACAAAGGTAGTTTGGAGTATCTTTCTGAAAATTACTCCCAGTTTTCATTGGTTTCAATGGGATATCCGCTTCAATTCTTAAAAACCTCAATATGTAAAAACAACAATAGAATTCCACATTTATTTACAATCTCGAAATACGACAGATCATTTTCAACTTTTCAAATATTAAGAAATATTATAAAAAATAATGATGTAATTATTTTTTTTATTTATTTGTTTTTAGAAAATTTATTTTTTACTTAAATTTTTTTTTTTTTTTTTAAAAAAGTTATTTTTGGCAATGTATTTTAATTCAATATGTATATTAAACAAATCAGTTTTTAAAGATGAAAACAATACAAGTTATAGTTGTGAATTTTATAAAAGAAATAAAAAGAAACAAAATAAACTATGTAAAATAATAATACCAGAACCAAACTATATTGACAAGCATTCAGTAATTTGTTTCGAGGGAAAAGAAAACGAACCTGTAGATAGAAGATTTGAATACTCCTCACAAGATTTAAATGATACATTGGTTACGTTTAGAAACAAATATAGAAACATGCCAAATAAAGAATTTGGAGAAAGAAATGATAAAAAAAATAAAGATGATCAATTAGCTGACAGTAACGACAATGACAATTATTATACCGAAATTAAAAAATGGCCCATTCAAGTTAGAATACCATCACTAAAAAACATTCTATATGGTGTAGTTAGAGAGCTCATTTTAATGTAAATATTTATACATAAATAATTTAAAATTAAAAATATATTAATTTTTTTTCAAAAGGGATAAAAACTATTTAGATAAATTTTTAAATAGTTTACCAATAGAGATTATTGAGGGGTTTATAAAAAGCTGTAAAGATGATAAAACCCCTTTGGGATTTTATTGTACGATGGTTTTGATAGAAAAGGTTTTAAATAGTAAAGTTTTAAATAATAATGTTCAATTACCAAGAATAGATCAATTAATCAAACTGGCAAATGACCACGACAGTTATTTTGCATTTATGTATGAAAAATCAATATCACAGGATATTTTTCACCTACAGTATAATCAAGATTATTTAATTAATATTTATAATAATTTGGATTTATTTAAATATAAAAAATGGCCTTATGATGTAAGTATAAAAAAGAAATTTACAATTTTATAAAATATTAATTATTAATATTTATTTTCTATTTTTTATAAACCTAGGATCAATTTGTTTTAAAGAGTGAGGAAAATATGGATTCTCTAGTTGGTAAACCATCTGTAGTGTGTAAAGAAAAGTTCATTGAATTGTTCAATAAAGAATCGCATAATAGGTTCAATGAATCATTTAATTGGAATAATACTTTGATGGTAGGTGGTTTTGTTACAATGTGTTTGACAGACAGTGTGGAACTATTCAAAGAAACAGACATCGATATATACTTTTTTTCATTGTCAGAGTCTGAAATGTTGGAAAGATTAAATTCATTCATTAATCATTTAAAAGAAATTGGTGATTGGGATAATTATTCAATGAGCAAAACAATAGCAGGCTCAATAGTATTATCAAAACATTATCCATACAAACATATTAAATTTCATCTAGAGTATGTAACTATTATTATATTTTATTTCAAATATTTTATTAATTTTTTATTTTTTTTAAATTAGAAACTATGTAAATAAAAATCATATTTTAGTTTGCAGTGATGTCAACTCCAGTTCAGTAGCTTTTGATGGGGAGAATGTTTATTCTCTATATACATCCATGGAATCTTTAAATTATAAATGCAATTTTCTCAGTAGGTCCTCATGGATGTTAAATGGGGATATTAGATATCAAGGTAGATTAGTGAAATATTTAAACAGAGGCTATTCAATGGTGTCAAGCGACTTAAAGCATTTAAAAGATGATGAATTTGACCCCCACAATAATCATTCAGGCCTTTCATTACTATTATCTTGCCAAAAAAATAATGAAGTTACCCAGTTCATTAAATCCTCTATTTTACCATTACCTTTTGGTCCAGAAATTAATAAAAACAACTTTGAAAAATTAATTGGTGATCATATGCTTATATCAAGATATCAGGTAATCATTATTTTATTTTTATATTTATAATATTTATTGTTTTATATTAATGGCTTTTTATTTAATCTATATTTAGACTATTACTGAAGAATATTTGGGAATGATAAAAAACCATCCCAATCATTACCCTCGAAATAGAAAGTATACCTCTTTATCTTCAAATATGTTTCCATTTTTAAATGTACAACCACGTTTCGAATCTAATATTGAATAATATATAAAAATAATTACCAATTAAAACTTTTTATAATAAATTTATTGTATAAAAAATTTATAAAGCTAAATTTTTTTTTTTTATTTCTAATATTATTAAAAATTAGACTTTTTAACTGAAATTATTATTTATTTTGATAGGTAAATTTAATATTAAAATATTATTACCACAATATTATTTTATTACCCACACACAACACCCACACAAACACCAACCACACAATTATTTTTTTTTATTTTTTAATTTAAAATTTTAATATAAAATCAATTTAAAATTTTAAGAAAAAAAAAAAAAAGTTATTTAAAATTTTTATATATTAATGTTTTAATATATAAAGTAATTGTGTATAACATAAAAAGAAGTAATAATAAAAACAAAAAAAAAAAAACCACATATGATATATCTTTAGATATTTTATATTTTATAATAATGGAAAAATTAAAAAAAAATATAATTACTATCATTGTTTTTTTAATTCCTTTAATATTACTTACACTTTCGATACAAGGTATGTGTAGATATAATAATAATATAAAAAATAATATATTTAAATATTTAATATTTATTTTTTTAATTATAGGTTATTGGTATAAAATTCACTTTTCAAATGGTCAAATTTATTTATTTAGATATGCAAATATTCAAATTAGCAATTTAACAGATACACCATCCAATCAAAATAATAGCCTATCTATCAATAATAATAATAATAATAATAATTGTAGTAATCCCTATATTGATAATATACCATACGGAAAAGCTCTCGAAACTCAAGATGTTTTCTTTGTTTCTTTTGTATGTACAATTGTAGCGATGGTGTGTAGCTTGGTAATTCTTGTCCTTCAACTTATTAATATTAAAGTATATTCGAAACATAATTTATATTTGGTTAATGCAATTTCAAAAATGATAGCTGTAATTATGTTATGCTTCAACCTATTCTCTACCCTATATCCAGTGCTTAACTTTAGATCATCTTTCGACAAAGAGTGTCACATCTTTGGAAACTGCATAGACTCCAGTAATGACTCTTTTATCGGTGATGATAAAAACGCAAGTTTTCAACCCTGGTACTCTTGGTTCTTTAATTGTATTTCTATATGCTTTGTATTCTGTGGTATCATTTTATTCTTTATCAAAAATAAAAAAGACAAATATAAAAAATATCAATTATTAGTTTAATAGTCAAAACAAATCCAATCAAAAAATTAACACAAAAAAAAAAAAAAAAAAAAAAAAATAATATCCAACCAAAAAAAAAACAAAAAAAAAACCCCAAATATTATCTTTTTTAAAAAACAATATAAATATTTTATATTTAAATTTACAATAAAACTAAACGTTCAGATTAAAATTATATTAATAAAAAACCTTTGGGAAAAATATAAATATCATTTATCTATTTATTTAGTAAATTTATTACGCCATTTTTGTGAAAGTTCAAAATTTTTTTTTGAAAATTTTTTAATTTTTAAAATTTTATTTTTTTTTAATTTTTTTTTTTAAATTTTGTTTTCAAAAAAAAAATATTAAAAAATCTATTTTTTTTTTTTATTTTTTTTTTCATTTGTTAATTAAATACAATACTATATTCTAAAATGTCACTCAACGTAAGTTTTTTTTTTGTTTTTATACCTTTGTATATCTTTTTTATTCTTTTCTTTTTTACTAATTATAATATTAATACAATAGGAAAACTTTGAAAAAGCCGCTGCTGAAGTTAAAGCCTTCAAAACCAAACCATCAAATGAAGAATTATTAGAACTCTATGCCTTATACAAACAAGCTACCGGTGGTGACAACAACACTTGTATGTAATAGTTTAAAAAGAAAAAAAGAGAAAAAAAAAAAAAAAAAAAAAAAAAAAAAAAGTTTCTTTTACTAAAATAATTTTTTTTTTTTTGTATAGCACAACCATGGGCTGTTCAAGTTGAAGCTAGAGCCAAACATGATGCCTGGTCAACCGTAAATATCAATATTTTAATATTAAAATTTTTTTAAAACTATACTAATTATATAATCTTTTTATTTTTTTTTTAAAAAAATTACAGAAAAAAGGTTTATCACAAGATGATGCCAAGACCCAATACATCGCCTACGTTGAAAAAATCAAACCAACCTATGCTTAAGGTGTTATAATATGAAAATTTGTTAATATAAATAAACTATAAAATTAGATCAATTATTTTATAAATTGTATTTTTTATTAAAATTTCTATAATTATTAATTTATCATTTTATTATTATATTGTTTTATTTAAATTATTTTAATAGTTAAAAAAAAAAATAGGTTTTTAATTAAATGATAAAATTTAATAAATAAATTTTATTTAAAATTTTTAAATACAAAATAATGGGAAATTTGCATCAATGCTTAATAAATGATAATCATCTCTATCCTTTCTATTACAATTAATAAAATCTATAACGAATTTATCACCTGGTTGCATTGTTTCCCTTCCATTAATGTCTGTATTATTATTTATTAATATTTCTTTTTCGTGTCTGTCGGTTACACCAATAAAACTATAAACCAATTCGTCATTTACAAAAAGGAATTTATCATCAGATGCACCATACTTGATTATCATTTCTTTATCTTGATCCATTGGAACTTGACTTAAGAATCTAATTCTTGAACACCAAAAGTAATTGTGATTTTTATTTTTTTGTTCATATTCACCAAAACCTAATCCATCAACTAAAAGTAAATTTGAAAAAAAAATGAAAAATTTTAGTAATGGAAATTTCTAAAATTAAAAATAATATTTATAAAACTATATTTACTTGGGAAGAAACTTTCATTATAGTAATAACTTGTATTTGATGGGTCAATTTGGAAAAATTGTGAGCCTGTTAAAGTTACACTTGGGTCAATTAAATTGGTCCATTGATCAAATGAATCTTCATTTTTAACCAATACAATATTATCTTGAATGTAAGAATCATCATCTTCACTGGTTTCAATAACCTGTTTTGCATTTTCATAATAGTTGTATTTATTAAAGTCAGTACTGTTGTTTTGATTTAAAAAGACCTCTAGTGGTTCACCTTGAATAATGGTTGCAAAAGTTCTAAACTCCCCTTTGTTATATAACATACCTTGATCATCATTTAAAAAAGGTTGGATGCAATCAAGGTCTTCAGTGTAGGTGTTATCTGGGACATTTGACATTCTAAAATCATTGTTTCTATTCTCGGTAGTATCATACCAATACAACATCCCGTCACCTAATTAAAAATAAATATTAGTAATTATTATATTAAATAATCATTTTTAAATTAAATAATACCCAATGCAATATTAAATAAATAAGTGGAAATAAATATTAAATAAATAGAGTTTGTCATTTTTATTGTGTTTGTTTTGTTATTAAACAATTTAATAAATTATAATAAAAAACAATAATTTATTTTTATTTAAATACTAAATTTTTTTAAAAGAATTTTGAAAAAAAATATAGTATTTAAAAGAATTTAAAATTTTGTTTTTTATTATGTGGTAACCATATTTTAGTTTTTTAATATGTAATTTTAAACTTTTTGATTTTTTAAATATGGTCAAAAGAATTTTAATTCTTACTATTATTATTTTTCGGGAAATTTCGATGCATTGAAAATCTAGTGTAGAAATTATTATTTTGGTATATAGCTATAGATAGTACATTTATTAAACTGCCACCCTACAATCCAAGAAATTCAATATCTTTTTTTTACATTATTGAAAAATAAATTTCGATGAAAACATCAAAAAAAAAAATGTTACAAAACAAAAAAAAACCACAAAGGGATAAATTATATTTTTACACATTTTTGGATAACTAAAATAGTTGTTTATTATTTTTAACTATACAAATAGTAAAATAAGGATAACTAATAAAAAAAACTTATATATTATCTATTAAATAGTTTATATATAAAAATATCCATATTTTCCTATTTTAATATAAAAATAAAAAAAAAATACAAAACAAAAAAAACAAAACAAAAAATCGATTATTTATTTTTAAATATTTTAAAATTAAAAAAAAAAAAAAAAAAAACAGCAAATTAAAAAGTATATTAAGAAGCTTAAGCTTCTTTAAGAATTAACAAAAATAATTAATAAATAACAATATTAATTTAAAATTAAAAAAAAATTAAAAAAAAATTAAAAAATAAATAAAAATTTTAAATTTTTTTAAAAAATTGAAAAAAAAATGAGAAAAAAAAACTATTGTTACGATAAAACCAATATTTAAAAATCTTTATTTCAAACTTTTTAATTTAAAAAAAAAAACCCATTTTAAATAATTTATATAATTATAATTACCTATAGATATTATAATACTTTTTTGTTAAAAAAACTAACGAACTATATATAAAGCAAAAACATAATGTCAAATATTTATAGTAATGATATCGAAATTATTCATTTTACAAGTCTTGGTTATGGAGAATTAAGATTAGCCAAGAAATATTGCGAAAAGGAAATTTTAGACAACTTATTTCAAACAGAGGGCGGTTTAATTATCGTCGATGCCGAAGGAGAAGAGGTATTTCCCGCTAAAGATGAAAGTAACAAAGAATATTATCCACAATTAATCCCAAACACTACCTATACAATTGTATCTGAAAAAGATTTAGATAGTGATACAGAAGATGATGAACACGACGATGATGAACACGACGATGATGAATACGAAGATGACGTGCACGAGGGTAATGAAGAACATGAACATGAACATGAACATGAACATGAACACAAGGATGGTGATTGCTGCAGTATCGATCATCAACATGAACATAAAACTGAATCTGGTTCAGTTTGTTGCTCCAATCAATCATCCAAATCTGAACAGAAAAAAATTCAAATTTACCAAATGGGTAAGTATTATTAAAATTTTAAAAATTATACATTAACTTTTTTCTAACACCTATTTGTTTTTTTCTATAATATCATAGGCTATGACAAACTTTTAAAAATGAGAGAGGCAAGAATTAACATGATTTCAAAATTGTATAAAAGAAAATATCCAGATATCTTTGAATTAAAAGAAGAATTTCTTGATAGCAGTTTTATAGATCCAATAAGACAATTTAAAAAAACCAAAGACAAGAATGATTTATTAAAATCCTTTACAAAACTAACAGATACCAAAATATATTCGTTCAGAATTTTTAAATTAGATTTTTGCACGTAAGTAAATAATATTTTTAAAAACATTAATAATAATAATATAATTAATTTTTATCTTTGTTTTTTTCTTTTTTAGTAAACTATTAGAAGAAATTGAAAACTTTAAAAACTCTGGATTACCAACCGCTCGACCAAACTCAATGAACAATTACGGCGCAGTTTTAGATGAAATTGGTTTTACCGAATTTTTTAATCAACTTAGAGAACAATACCTATCACTTTTTACCACTGTTTTATACCCAGACTATAATGGTGACTGTTTAAATGGTCACCACGCATTTGCAGTTCAATATAAAATGGATAGAGAAAAAGAATTAGGTTTCCACTATGACGAATCTGACATCACTGTAAACTTATGTTTGGGCAGTGAGTTTACTGGTGGCTCTTTATATTTTAAAGGAATTTTAGAAGAACCAGAAACTCACAACGAATATTTTGAAGTTAATCATACCCCGGGCGTTGCTTTAATTCACGTTGGTCACCATAGACATGGTGCTTTAGGTCTTAAAAGCGGCGAAAGAACAAATTTAATTTTATGGTTAAGAAATGTCAATAGCGATAGTCGTCATACCAACAGTGATACCAACGTTGATACCAATGTTGATACCGCCACTGCTGCTATAGCCTCAGCCACTATTTAGTCTATATAAATTAAAATAATATAAAAATTATTTTTGTAAATAAACAATCTTCAAAAAAAAAAAAACTGTTTTATTTGTTCCATTTTTATTTTATTTATTTTATTTTATTTTATTTTATTTTATTTTATTTTATTTTATTTTATTTTATTTTATTTTATTTTATTTTATTTTATTTTATTTTTAGAAAAACAAATTATAATTGGTTTTTGATTAAATTTATATCCTTGTGATTGTTGAAGTGCTGTTATTGCTAGTTCTGTGGTTGGAAATGTTATAAAAGCCTGTCCATGCAATCGACCACCTTGATGGTAATCTATATGTAAATTTGATTTCATTGATTCAGCACTATCAAATAATGTTCTAAATAATGATTCAAAGTCACTTGATTTAACATGCTTTGAAATATTCTTTATATAAAGCTTATTTGATGGCTCCCCAATATTTAACTTTCCTTTTATAATGCTTTCAATTTCTTCGACTGTGCATTTATTACTATTAATTTGTTCGATTGTAACTATATCTTTGATTTCATTATTAATATTTAAATTAAAATTTATATTTTTTTTTTCATTATTATTGTCTATAATATTATTTTTTTCTATATTATTATCATCTGTATTAATATTATTACTATTGCTGCTGCTGTTATCTATATCACTATTTACATCTTTTTTATCTATTTTATTTTTTATATTTTCGTTGAGTAAAACCTCAGAACCTTTTGAGCCTGTTGTTTGCTGATTTTTTATACAATTATTATTATTTATAGATAATTTAACTTTTTTTAAAACTCTTGGCGAAATAACTGAAGGAAAAAGTTTGTTGGTATATTCTATTACAGAAGGATCTATATTTTTAGTTACATCGTCATCTGAAACCCATTCCTCCTCTTCCTCATCCTCCTCTTCATCCTTTTTTTTATCTTTTATATCTACAATTTTATTAACTAATGACTCTTCATAATCTATACCTCTTTTAAAACTCTTTTTTTCATCTATATTTTTGGATATTTCGGGTAGTGGTGGATTTTGTGTTGATGGCTGTGGTTCAAAATGTTGACTATATAATGGCCATTGTCGTATTATTTCGGGTTTTGAATATAATTTGATATTCATTAAACTCATAATATTTAAAACCTGGGAATAAAAATCTGGTCTTGTTTGTAAATAATATGTAATTTCATTAATAACTGATTGAGATGGGTCTGCTATTCCCATATTAATGTTATATCCATCTCCATTATTACTATTATCACCATTGCTATTATTGTTACTTGTATTATTTTTACTATCTTTTTTTTTACCAGTTGAAATCTCCACCTTTAGTGTTCTTCCACCCATTTTTGAACCATGTAATTGTTTTAGTGCTCTTTCACAATCTTCTCGATTTTGAAAATCTACAAACACAGTTCCTTTCTATAATTAAAATAATTTAAATATTAAATTAATATAAATTTTTATAAAAACATAATAATAATAAAATATATATGTACTTACCATATTACCCTCCAAAGCTTTATACTGTAGATGGTTAAAAGGTGTAAATAAATTGGTTAGATCTTCGACATTTGCATTGGCAGGTACATTTTTTACAACTAATTTAAAAACACCATTATTTATATCATTTATATTATTTAATTTACTACTATTGGTAGTATATTTTATATTACTATTGGTATTACTGTTGAATATATCACTATTATTTTTGGGTGTGTTGTTTTGAAAAGATGAATGCATAATAATGAAATTTAAATTCCAAAAAAAAAAAAAAAAAAAAAAAAAATCCAAAGCAATTTAAAAAAAAAAACACACACAAAAATGAAAATAAAAAAAATAAAAAATTTTAAAAAAATAAACAAAGTAAATAAATATTATTTATTATAATTATTTCTTTATATTCTTTTTTATTTATTATTATTTATTTGTTTTTATTATTATTTAAAAAAAAAAAATAAAAAAAAAGAATTTTTTAAATAAATTTTTAGTATATAAAAACGTTGTATGTATTTTCTATATTAATATGTCAATGAAAAAATTTTTTAAAAATTTTTTTCAAAACTTACGCCAAATTTTTTTTTAATTTTTTTTTAAAATTTTTTTTTTTTTTATCGTTTTTCTACAGTATCATATCAAAATGGAAAAGTATTGTATCTCTATGTATAATTCTATGTATACAAAATTATCATACCATTATACTGGTTAATGTTAATCTTTGTTTATCTCATGGATTAATGTTGGATTAGTAAAGATTGATGATAGATAATGTGGATTAATGTGATAATATATATTGGATTGTAATAAATGAAAGATAAAAGTTATGATACTAATATCTCTTTTTCTTTTTCTATAGGATCTACTCAAAAGGTGTTGTTTTAGGTTACAGAAGGTAAATTATATTAGTTGTTGGATAGGATATTTTAGGTTTATAGATTATAATATTAATTCGATTATTATCAATTTTTACAAAAATTTAGATCCCAAGCTACCCAATACCCAAATATTTCATTACTCAAAATTGAAGGTGTTGTTAGCCGTGAAGATACCACTTTTTACTTAGGAAAGTCTGTATGTCTTATTGAAAAAGTCACCAAGACTGCCGAAAACCCATCAGGTCACAAAATCACCTGGGGTAAAGTCTGTAAATCACACGGTAGCTCAGGTGTTGTCCAAGCCCGTTTCAAGAGAAACCTCCCACCAAAAGCCTTCGGTGCCCCAATCAGAGTTTTCCTCTACCCATCATCAATTTAAATCAATGTTTTAGAAAAATAAATATATAATTTAAAAAAGATGACGATTTTTTTTAGCGCTTAAAAATAGATTTTATTATTGTTTTAGAGAAATGGTATATTTTATAAAAAAGAAAAGAAATTTTAATGTTTTTTACGAGATAATAATCAATGACAATATTAATTATTATTTAAAGAAATATAAAATACACATATTTATTTTGTTTTTTTATTTATTTATTTTATTTTTAAGAAAAAAAGATATTGTTTTTTATATACACCGAAAAAGATTTTTATTTTATTTTATTTTACAATTGGGTGGTCCTTTTTCGTTACAATATTATTATTGTCATTATTACATATATTACACATCGTCACCATTTGTTTCTATTTTATTGTCACTGTTATTGTTATTTAATGGTTTTAAAATATTTAAATCGATGATTTGGTTTTGATCAGGTCTGTTATCTAATAGTTGCAATAGAGACGATTTTTTATTTTGAAAATCTAAATGTTTTTGTTTTGATTGAAGAGATGGAGCTAGATTTGAGTTTGGGACAATAATATTTTGGTCAATTAGATGGTTAATATTTGGACGATTTTCTAATCTTTTATCTAAAGTTTCACCAGTCTTTTTAAATTTAATTTGGAGTTGTTTTTGTTGAATACTCGATGATATATTTGGATTGTTCTTTATAATACCATTTTCTAATAATTTATTTAATTCTGCTCTACTTTTTAGTTTATGATCTATAGTATAACAAACTCTATTAAATTCATTATTGTTATTATTATTATTATTATTATTGTTATTATTGTTATCATCTAAATTGTTATCTTTATTATTTAAAAATTTTTTTTGGTCATTATTGTTATTATCATCAATACAATTATTTTTATTTTTATTTGTATTTATAATATTATTAGTCATATTATTTTCAAATTTATTAATATCATCAAAATTTTCGTGGCGATTGCTGAAATTATTATTATTACCGGTATCAATATTATTAATATTTATTAATGTATCATTTGTATGAATATTATAATTATTGGAATGAATGTTATTATTGTTGGTCGTTGTAGTGGCAGTGGTAGTGGTGTTGAGATTATTAATTGTATTATTGGGGTTATCTACACTATTCATTTTATATATATATTGTCATGCGAGGTATATGTATCTTTAGAAATTTTAAAAAAATTATATTAATTATTTTTTGGGGGTATTTAAGTGTATGTATTTTTGTTTAGTTGTAAAATATCAAAAAAAAAAATAAAAATCAAAAAAAAAAAAAAAAAATAATTTAAAAAAAAAAAAAAAAAAAAAAAAAAAAAATCGAAGAATTATAAATACAAAAATTTAAATAGAGAGATATCTCTGTATTGATATCATTTATATTGATCAATATAAAATAGTTTTTTTCATTTTTTTTAATAATTATTAATTATCAAAAATTAAATATTTCATTTTTTAAAATATTATTATTTAATTTATTTTTTTATTTTATTTTTTTTTAAATTTTCAATTTTTCATATCACTATCTTGTGTTGTAATTATTTTTACCCCTAAAATAGAATATATGTAATTAAATAGTTACACACTCTTATTTCATTTTTACAGATTGCTAAAAAAAAAAAACTACAATTTAGGATTTAACTGGCAATTGTGAATATCAAATTAATTTTAAAATGTAAATATAGTTTCAGAGATATTCTTTTTTTACTTTTTTTACCATTTTTAACCAATTAAAATTATAAAGAGCAAAAGAGTAAATAGTTGTAGAAAAACTTTTTTTTTATAAATTATTTTTTTTATTATTAACTAATCGACCAGTTTTTTATAATAAATTAAATTATTTTATAAATTAAATCTATTTATATGTATTTTTTTTTTATTTTTTTTTTATAAAGTTTACTAATCAGTTTTCATTGCTTATTTATTTGTTTAAAGAAAAAGAAAAAGAAAAAATAAAAGAAAATAAAAGAAAAAAAATGAAAATAAAAATTCCATTTACAATATTTTTAATGTTATTATTGTTACCATTTATATTTTCAGAAAGTTTAAACACTGTAAAGATTTAAATATTTAAATAAAAATATTCTAAATAAAATACTCATCTTTTTAATTATTTAGGGATCATTGGTAATTACAAGAAAGTCAAGTGACAATGGTTCATTGAAAGCTTTAGTATTAAATTTAAATTCAGGTACTTTAATCAACACCAGCAAACAAAGATATATCTTATCAAAGTCAGTTTTAGATGAAATTAACCTGTTATTAAACAGGCTTGATCTTAGTGAAGGTAACCTAGATTTTAGAAACTCATCAATTCCATCTTCATATATTTATTTCATGGCTTATACTCAATATGGTAATAGTGTTGTATGGCAAGGTAAACATTAAAACTATTAATCTTTTAAGATACTATAAAAAAATATACTAATATTTCATTAATTCTTATA